GGAGAGTTGTGAGGTTCGAACTCCAGCAACCTGAGGCTGACAGCTTTGTGGAAGCAGCCACTTAAAGGACTGAGCTAGGGCCAGGCCCCCAAGAGTAATTTTAGTAAAATGAAAATAAAAATAGTTTAATTCTGCTGTATAGAAAATCAAGCAAGAAATTATGCTACAGTATTTCCTAAAAAATAAGACCTAACAGAAAATAAATCCTAGAACGATTTTATAGGATGCTTGTCATATAAGTCTTACCCCAACAAAAGCCCCAGTTAAAATCATCAACCAGAAAAAAGATAGCTGGCCAGACAGACACATTTTAGTATGTGCATTGCAATGCATGACTGATGTATTGAATGATAAATTAATATTAATAGGGCCAGCCAGATAGCTCAGTGGATTAAAGCACGAGCTTAGGCAAATGCAGGGGCCAGGGTTCAATCCCCAGTGTGCCATGCCAGCCCTGCCCTGCAGCACACTGAGACTGGGCCCGGTGGTGCGCACCTGTAATCCCAGCACTTGGGAGGCTGAAAACAGGAGAATCATGAGTCTGATCCATGTAGTGAGACCGGGTAGACCATATAGACCCTGCACTAAAATACAAAAATAAATTAACTTAATTAATATGTAATTAAATGTAAATAATATTGTTGACATTAAAGTTAAAACAAATGATAATATAAATTATAGTTAAGCATTTGTAAATATCCAAATGGGCACCTTTGGACAAGAGGTAAACGGCTACATAAACAGCTAAAACAGAACTCAAGGCTTATTGCCAAATTCAGAGTACAAACAGCACACAAATAACATGTATGCTTGAAAACAGATGTAGCTGTGTCTAATATGAATCTTCATAATTCAATATGTCATGTTTTTGTAATGGATATACTTAATGCATTCATGTGAAGTAAAGGTTTTACGAATTTTGGTGTCTAGAATTTTTTCATCACTTTTGTGTGGGCTGTCATTCTTAACTATCATCTTTTTTGTTGCCACTCTTGTTGCATAAGTCTTCAATGAACACTTGATTTATTTATTTATTTATTTATTATTATTTTTTTTTTTTTTGTGGAACCGGGGATTGAACTCAGGCCCTTGTTATTCCACTGAGCCATCTCCCCGGCCCAGAACACTTGATTTAAAAGAAACTTCATGAAGCATCCCTTGCCTGCAAGAGGTCATGACTTGGGAGAAGAATTCCTGGATAAAATCACTGACAGCTATATTGCCAATACACTATAAGCAGGCTCCATGGACAAGAAGTGCTCATTTAAGGATAGTTCTATTGCTGGATATGAGAGATTGAGGCCAGTGATTTTAGAGGAAATAAGAGTCACAATGCATTCAGGCTGGGAATTGAAGGTTTGAAGAGTTATGATGATAAAGAAGATAACATGACTGTATTTGAATAAATGTAGATTGCTGTATATGAAAAAATAAGACAACCCCTGGAAGTAAACCCTATTGTATTTTTTGGAGCAAAAATTAATACAAGACTCTTATTTGGGATTACAGATTAAAGATGGTTGCTCTTTTGGAGACTTGGGGAATGGAGACAGAGAAGAGAGCCTTGCAGTTAGGTTCTGGGACTTTCATACAGGGACCTCCGAGCATTCAGAGTCAAAGAGGGAAGGGTGTGGGCAGCCAAAGGGATGAGAAAGGAAAACAGGGATTGTGGGGCCATGGGAACTAACAGACATTTGGGGGAGGCTCCACCATGTCCACTGCTCCTGAAAGTTGAGCAAACCTGGACAGAAAAGTGACCAGCCCCATCTGCTATCCCACTGCCTCTGCTGATGGGAGCTCTAGGCTATCTCCTCTTCTTCCACTCGCTCTAAGTGCCAGAGCTCTCCAGGTCCTAGATCTCTTTCTCTGCTCCCAGGGCAGTCTTACCCAGTCTCGTCTATATAACATCAGCTCCCAAATTTGTACTTCCAGCCTAAAACTGTCCCCAAACCTCAACACATTGGCTGACTGCTAGATGTGTCCACTTGAGGTCTAACAGATGTCTTGAAGTTAACAAGTCCAAACTGAGCTTTCAACACCTCACCCAGCTTCAGACCTCTTTCCCTGGCTGAGCTGACAACACCACTGACACCACCACTGACACAGCTGCGCAAGCCAAATCTTGGGAATCACCCCAACGCTTTGCACATGCTCCTCTGCCTCTGCGTATGTCTGGCCATCAGTGAGTTCTGAGGTGTCACAATTTCCCATGAATCCATTCTTGATACACCTCCTCCACTGTGGCCACCCTCGGTTAGGTTCATCACCATCCCCTACCTGGATTATTATAAGGCTGATGTCAGTGATCCCCTAGCTTCCTCCCTTTGCACCCCCACTCGCCCACGCATCCTCAAAGGTAAGCATAACTCAAGCACATCTCTTCTTTCCAAAATCTTCAGTGTCTCTCTAGGTCATCCAGAGAAGCAGCCAAGGTCATTACCATGGCCCTTGAGGTGCCCACATGATGTTCCTCCCCCACGACTCTCCTTCCCTCGGCCCCCTCCAGCCTCATCTACTCTGCTCACACTGCGTCAGTCATGCTGGTACCCTTGCTCCTCCTCAAGAGCTCCTGGCCTGCTGTGACTCAGGGTTTCTGCACATACCAACACCTCTGTTTGGAGCAGCCTCACAGATATGGCTTGTTCCTATCTTCATGTCACCTTCACAGTAGCCTCCCCTCTTTACCCTTTGTAAAATTGCCACATCTCTCTCGAATTTATGTGTGTTTTATTTTTTCATCAACATTTATGAGAGCAGATGGATGCAAAAGTGGGCTGCTAGCACATTTGGAGGAAGTGAGGCTCCTGTTTCCTCCAAGAAGGAGACAAGGGGAAGGGAGTTTATAGGAGGTCAAAGTCAATAAAGGCACCTAAGGATAAGGATCTAGGAGCAGCCTACCACAATAATTTTATCAAACTCCATTGATAGGGACAATCACCTCCTTACTCTTCTGGAAGTGTTGAGCTTCGGCCACCCCGAGTCCAAACAGCCCCCAGGAGCCTCCCTCACCTTGCAGCTGGCAGGGTGACAGGCCACTGTAGGGTCTGACATCAGCTTACCTGCTCCCAGCCACCAGCTCTTCCAGTGCTTGCTTGAGCCGCAGGCGGGCGCCTGACCCCGGCTTGCGCTGCATCTTCTCAACTTCCTGCAGCCCCTGGTCCTGAGCACCCAGGAGAGGGTCAGTCTTGCCAGCCCCAATCCTACACCCCAACCCTGATGCCCCCCTCACTCACCACAGCACCTCTACACCTGCCCTTGAGCTCCACTGTACTCACAGTTCCATTTTCCTAGTCTCCCTGGAGCTGTGCTCTGTCCACCACCCTCTGCCCCTGCACCAACAAGGTGCTTGCCATTAGCTCCCTGGAGCTCCCTCCCAGGATGAAGTCACCCCAAATCCTAGGATCCAGCCTTTCCTGGTGGCCGCCAGTCTTGCCCTCACCAGCCTCTCAGCCACTTTGCACACACAGTTGCTGCTCTGCAGGCGCCACGTGTAATCCTCCCAGCGACTCCACACATGGATGCAGGGCTTGCGGTGACGCAGAGGCAAGCAGAAGTAAGGGCTGGACCAGATGGAGAGGAGCAGAGGCTCTGGGGGCAGCCTGGGTGGCTGGGGACCTCCCAACATCCTCCTTGCAGCCTCCAGGAACACTTACCCACTGCCGTCTACAGGTTCAGGTCTCTGGGCTGGGGTCCCCAGCACCTCCTCTTCCTCCAGCCTGACCCCCCCATCTTCAGATTCCAACAGAGGCTGTGCCTCTACCACAGTGCCTGTGGTTTCCTCCTCAGCCCTGGCGCCTCTGTGTGGCTGCTCCTCCCTTCGGCCTGCATGACCTAACCAAGGAGCAGCAAGTCACATGCTGAGAGCCAGCCCCCTCCCTCAACTGCCTCTGCCTCAATAGAAGTCAGTACCCACTCTCATCCAGGGACATAAGGTCTGCAACAAGAGTGTCCACCCTCAAACCCATCACTGTCAGGGCTAGACTAAGCCACACACCAATGGAAATCTCAAAGCTGATGGGTTTCGAGGCTACAGCAGGATCAATCATGGTGGCTTCGAAGAGCACGCAGAAAAGCAGGAAATCTTCACAGGGTGCAAGGGCGTTCTGCAAAATGGAGTCACATTGGACTTTTCCAGTTCCCAGAGAGAAGCCTGGACTATCCTTGGCCATAGCACCCAGAGAAAGCCATTCTAACCAAAACCCAGAAGTCACCACAGGCATCCTACCCCTGTCTCTGCCTTTCCAGGCTGGGTACTTTGGCCTCTCTGGCTGACCAGTCCTGCCCAGTACACCCTTCACTATATAGTACACTCTTCACCCAGGTGCCCAAATTCACACACACACACACACACACACACACACACACACACACGGACACTCCTCGTGTGTGTTTAATGCCTGGGAATAATAGGTTCGACCCTCCAGAGCTAAGAAGTCCAGCCCCCACCTCCGGCAAAGGCAGCAACTCCTCCACTTCCACCTCCACAGCGCTAGGAATTTCGGGTCCATCCCTACTGGAGCTGGCCTCTCCGTGCTGCTGCGGAACCCCAGCTGGGGTCTGACTCCTCCTGGCTTTCTTCTTTTTTCCAGTGAGCCGGGACAACCTGGACACTTGTGTCGCTTGGGGTGGCTCAGATTCAGCTCTCCCTTCGAACACCTCCATGGATACAGCCACCAGGAGTCTACCGCGGAACCAAACGCCTTGGCCAAGGCCTTCATTGAGACGCTGATGTCCATCCCGGAGTCCTCCATTCGGGGGAGAGCCATAAAGAGACACCCAGGACGGGCCAAAGGTGGGGTTAAACCCCGCTGTGAGGAACAAGAATGGGGCTTCAAAGGTCAGCCCAGGGCAGGTGGGTACTGGCCTCCTCTGTGCTCCACACCCTTATCTCCTCCGAGTTCTGCGTCAGGGTCGGGATAGGGAGGAGTCCTGGCGCCCTGGCAGAGAAGTCTGTGGCAACAGCTGCAGACATCTGTAGACCACGACCGGCCACGCTTCAGACCCAGACTCTAGGGACAGAGCCAGAGCCCGGAGGTGGAGCCCAGATGGGGCAGAGCAAAGGACCGGGGTGGGGTGAGGGTGGGGGTCGGGGGTTCTGAAACAGTGCCTGGGGTTTTGCAAAGCTGGGGATGAAGTTCCTAGTCTGGCGACAGGCGAAGGCTCCGCGAGGACCGAGGCAGGACCCAAACGTGCTCACCCGCGCGCCCCGGGTGGGCGATCTGCCCCAGGTCCAGCACGTGCGTGGCGAGGGCCACGTCGGCGAGGGGCGCGTCGTCCCGCAGCTGCAGGCGAAGGCCGCGTGTCAGCGGCGGGAACAGCTCCACGAAACTCAGCTGCTCGTTCCACTCGGGCGCCGCCGCCTCGCCGCGCACCGAAGTCTCGCCCTGTGGGCGGCCGCGAAGCCGGGTGGAGGGAGTCGGTCCGGGGGTCGGCCTGCGCCGCGGCGGAGCGGGCGCGGGAGCCCCCTTACCTGCTGCCCCAGGAAGGACACCCGCACGTAGGGGTCCACGAGGACGCGCTGGTCGTGCAGGGCGCGGGCCAAGCTGCCTAGCAGCCCGGGGCGCAGCGCAGGGAGCCCCTCCGCGCGGTAGACGCGCACGCGCAGCCGCGCCCACGGCCTCTCGGCGCGCACCCCGCGGGGCAGGAGCAGGTTCCTGGGGAACAAGGCGCAGGGTCGCCGAGAAGCTGGATGCTTGGCACCTCCGTCTCCGCGCCTCGAGCCACACCCGTCCGACTCCGCATCCCCCTCACACTGCAGCTCACTTCTCGATGTCGGAACTGTGCCCCGGGCCAGGAGGTGGCAGTAGTGGGGCCAGGTCCCCACGCTCCCTCACAGACAAGGTGACCTTGACGAAGCCCTTGATCCCGGCGCGGGTGTCCCGGGGGTCATGCAGAGGAGCCCATTTTTGATAGAAGTGGCCATCTGGGAGTGTGGAAAGGCTAGTGTCAGGGGATGCCAGCCAAACACCCTGGACAGTGGTCCAATACGGAGGAGTGTGAACGCGTGAAGGTTAGAGAGATGGTCTCAAGAGATGGCATCTCAGTGTACCGTGACCTACAGAGTTCACTTCCAGGGTCCTTGTCCCAGCAGATAAGTCTCAGGAAGGTAAGAGTTCTGTACCTGGCTGGTCAAAGACGATGCCCAGATCCATCCTGAAGGTGCCTATCCGGGTGGCCATAAAAGGGAGAGCCTGCGAGTGGAAAGCCTGGGAGAAAGTGGTGTTAGTTCAGGAGTTTCTGTATCCGTCTTTTTTGTCCTCCTCTCTATCTCCTTTTTTTTTTTTTTTTTTTTTAGCAGAACCGGGGATTGAACTCAGATCCTTGCATTTGCCAGTCAAGCACTTATCCTACTGAGCCATCTCCCCGGGCCCCTATCTCCTTTTTTTTTTTTTTTTTTCTCCTCTCATTTTTGTATTTCTTTCTCTTCTCTTCCCCCCGCCCAGAATTGAAACCAGGGCCTTCACACTGAACTACATCCCCAGTCCTTTATTCTTTATTTTATTTTTTTAATTTATTTATTTACTTATTTATTTTTGCGGTACCGGGGATTGAACTCAGGACCTTGAGCTTGCCAGGCAAATGCTTATTTTACTGAGCTATCTCCCCGGCCCCAGCCCTTTATTATTATCAGTATCATTATTTTATTATTTTGAGCCAGGATCTTGCTAAATTGCCTAGTTGTGATCTTCTTGCTTCAGCCTTCCCAGAGTGCTGGGATTGCAGGCAGGAGCCACCCATGTCAGAGTTCTACTCCCTTTTTTGATGGAAATCTTTGTGCCCTCCCCTCCTCACCGTGATCTCCAGTAGTGAGTCTTGGAGGTGATGCCGGGTCTCATGAAATTCGAACAAGAAATACTGGGTTGAAGTGGGGATGAGAGGTTAGGTGTGAAAGGCCCATGCCATCTTGGGCCGCCTCTATTGAAGAGAAGATTGTCCCTAAAACTCCAGTGAGCCTCTTTCCCATTCTTTTGCCCCGCCCACCCATAGGCCAAGTGAGGGGAAACTGCACCAGGCGCACCCCCTCAGGGTCCTCTCTGGGTGCTACTCATTCTTTCAGACTGTTTTCTTCCTTTGTTGGCCCACCTCATTGTAGAAGGGACAATTGGTTCCACGTTGTGTGGCAGTAACTCGGCGCTGCTCCCCAACACGCACCGCCACATACGGATTAATGTTGACTCCCACCAGCTTCTGGGCCTCGAGCACGGTGACTCCCACCTAAGGAGTACAGAAAGGGGAGGACAGAAAGCCAGACCTGCCAGGCTAGAGAAGGAGTGTGCACACAGAACAAGAGGTACATGAGGGTTAGGAGCTGTCAGGAAAGCAGTACCTGGAAGTCTTGGGCTCTGGACACCTGGCAGTGGTCCCGGTGGGCCAGTCCCCGGGCTCTGCTGCAGAAAAGCTTAAGGTCAGTTCTCAGCTCCCTTTTCCCACCAATACACATGCCCTTGCTTGGCACTGGGGAGGAGGTCTCCTCTTCCCTGTGAACTTTTGGATTCTGAGTTCTTTGGGCTCATCTACATACAAAGTATGACTTATTCCCAGAGTCCTGATAATATTCATTCAACAAAATTTTATTGAGCATCTACTCTGTGCCCACTGTTCTAAGCACTGAGACACTGCAAAATTTGCCTTCATCAAGCTTTTATGATATACCAATGCTGAGCCGGTGTAACTGACCTTCATCATGGCAGTATCTACACCCCAAGACTAGATAAGAGTGGGTCCACACATGTGAACAGTGGGACTGACTCACTGGCTGAGTGTGTGTGCAGGGCTCAGTGGGTACTAATTACCTCTTGAGGGGGCTGAACACAACCCCGGAAAGCTCCACATCAGGCTCATCATCCAGCTCCAGCTCCAGCTCCAGCCCCAGCTCATTCTCTTCATCATCCTGTGGGCCTAGGCTTCGTGCGAGCCTGCGGCCCAGAGCTACTGCTCGCCGCTCCAAACGGGCCTCCCCTAGCCTGGCAGAGAAGATTTTCATAGGAAATGCCTGGGACCTGTCACTCATTTCTGGGCACTGCTTGACTTGAACGACCCTAGCACTGACCTTTGACCTTTGACCTGATCCCTGGACAGACTAATAACCCCGGGACCCTTCTAATTCCAGAACTCATTCCAATTCTAGGGCTGGGGAAATAGCTCAGCAGCATAAGTGCCTGCCTGGCAAGTACAAGGTCCTGAGTTCGATCCCCAGTGCCATCAAAACAAAACAATCATTCCAATTCTAGAACTGACCTCTGACTCTCAAATTGATTCAGTCCTCATCCCTGATCTTGGAACTAACTCCTAGTCACTGGTTCCTAACCCTAAGAGTGATCTTGCTCATCCCAAGTCATTCCCACATACTTACTCCAGCTCCTGGAAGCTCACATTGGGGATAATCAACTCTGAGCTGGGAAGAGAGACAGAGAGAGGCCTGACTACAAAGCTGCAACCCAGCCAGTGCTGATCTTGAGTCATATATCCAGCAGACTGAGTGGGGTGCCGCTTCTCTTTCTAGTACCTTTCTGAGCTGGGACCACTGGGCTCAGGTTGCTGGGAGGGTTACCTGTCCTGGATAGGTGCCCCAAAGTCCTCCTCTGCCCATGTTCCAGCAGCACCCTCTGGGGGCTGGTACTTCAGGTCAAGCTCCACCTGGATCTGAAGCCAGATACAATGTGTCCTTGAGTCCCTCAAAGTGGGGGGGGGGGGGGCTAAAGAAGTCCAAAGGCTTTTACTCCATCTACTAACAGAGATCCTCCTGGCCTGCATCTGTGGTAATGATTATCTTCTTTTCTGATTATCAATAATGTTAACTATTCATGACTTTTTGATTTTTTTTAAATGTATTTAGTACAAGGTCTACATGGTCTCACTACATAGATTGAACTCGTAGTGCTCCTCCTGTTTTCAACCTCCCAAACTCTGGGATTACAGGTGCAGGCTACCACGCCCAGTCTCAGTCACTGTCTCAGCGCATCCTGCGGGCAGGGCCAGCACGGCACGCCAGAACTATTCATAATTTTGTTAAGAACTTAATGTGCAGGGGCCGGGGAGATGGCTCAGTGGAATAAGTGCTTCCCTGGCAAGCACAAGGGACTGAGTTCAATCCCTGGTTCCACCAAAAAAAAAAAAAAAAAGAAAAAAGAAAAGAAAAGAACTTAATGTTCAAGTTATCTCTTGGGCCAATCTCTTACAATCCCTTTCCAACTCTGCATGGCATGATCCCTGCCATCCTTTCCGGTTTCATCTCATTCCAGGTTCCAGGTCCTGCTCTGCACTCAGCCTATGCTCCTTCAGGGCATCGGGCTTTTTGAATGTTTTGTTTCTTCTCCCTAGAACATTCTCCTCTCATACTCAGCCCTTATAATGCTTCACTTCCAAGCTCTCACACTACTTCCTTGAGAAAACCTTTTCTGACCCCTACTAAATCACATAGTGCTGTGATCTAGTACTTTTGTGTAAAAGTAAAATTGATGTGCAAGTTATCTTTGTGTGTGTGTGTGTGTGTGTGTGTGTGTGTGTGTATGAATATTGGCTTATGTTTGCCTCCCTGTTCAACTAAGAAGTTCAAGAGGGCAAATCCTTATCAGATTCTGCTCACCAATGAATCCCCATTACTCAGCACTACAATTGCTTTATTATATAAGTGTTTACCTACTTATGATTTTTTTTCTTTTTTTCTTTTTTTTTTTTTTCTTTTTTTTTTTTTTGTGGAACCAGGGATTGAACTCAGACCCTTGTGCTTACCAGGGAAGTGAAGTGCTTATTCTACTGAGCCATCTCCCCAGCCCCTTTCTTGTGTTTTTGAGACAGGGTCTCACTATGCAATTCAGAGTTCAGGCTGGCCTTGACCTCACTTTGTAGTCTAGGCTGGTTTTGAACTCATAATGATCCTCCTGCCTCAGCCTCCCAAGTGCTGGGATTATAGGCATGCGCCACCACGCCTGGCTTTGACTTACAGACTGAATGAAAAACTCAATACTTGTTATGACTCTACATTACATTAATATACAAATTAGAGATTCTGCATAATTCCTCTGGTTTTTTACATGTAAAGTGGTAGATCTGAGAATAAAGTTCCACTTCTCTATGAACTTCTGGGAAACGCCAGGATAATCCAACCAGGTTCATCTTGGGAACTCCTCATCTCCCCCATTGCCACACCCCCCTGTTCCCCACACAGGGGCTACAGTGAAAAGAACCCTGGTTGGAGGACCGTGTTAGGTTAGTTCTTGAGTCTTCCTCTAGGATAAGTAGAACCTTCTATCTACGGGGAGTCTGGTTTGGAAAAGACAGGTTGATGACTGCTAGGACTCACCTGGGACACTCGAAGATTCTTGTCCACTAGGGCCTCACGAAGCACCAAATGTCCAACACTCTGCAATTGCTGCAGGGAGATCACCAGGGTCCCCAGAAGCCTGAGAGAGTGGCATGGGACCGAGCAATGACCTAGGGAAGTGGCACCAGCCATCTCCAGCCCCTCCTGTGCAGCTGGCTCCCCCGGGCCCACTCACCTGGGGCTGAACACAGGGCTGCAGTTGACCACCTGCACAGACAAACTTTCCCCAGGCAGTGGAGCCCCATAGTGAGGCCAGCGGAACAACTGGGGTTAGGAAGAAGCTTGTGACACTCAATGCTGGGCTGATTCTGACCCCAGTCCAGAGCCTATTCCCAACCCTGAAATATAAGCCAACCCTCCCAACTTGGAGCTAATGCTAGGAATGATCTCCTAAGCCTAGAACTGACCCTCTTAGCTAGGTTTGACTCCAAACTAGGGGTGATCTGGAGCTAACTACCAATCAAGAACTAATCCCTCTCAGTCTTGGAAATCACTTGCTCCTAAACTGTCTCTGACTTCTCAAACCTGAGACTGACTCCACTTCCTAAGGATATACCTTCCCAATCCCAGGTATGAGTCATTTAGCCCAAGGCTGGACCTGAAACAAGACAGACCGACTTCTCCCCATTTAGAAACCAACTGTACTGACCTCACCAACATCCGCTTCTTGACCACAGTGAATTTTCCTTGTTTTCTGGGTAAAGCCTGTTCAGAACTAAAACTAGTCAATAATCAGCCCCTTATCACCCTGAAATCACTTGTCTCCCCCACTCTTGAATGCCATGCCTCGTCCCTGTGGTGTCACAACTTTAAAAAAAGTAGAAAATGAGGAGGGAAGGAAGCAGAGCATGAGAGTTGTCAGGTAAAAGAGAAAGAAAAGCTGTAGAGATAGCCAGGAATTGGGTTGGAGGTCTAGAGAATGAAAAATCTAGAGCTTTCCAGTTCTACAAAGCTTTAGAGTACCCTTGGAAGGCTCACCTCGAAAGCTGAGCTTTACTTGTCTGTCGTGGGTGCCTGGAAGTCCTATTAGTCTCCGAACATACACAGTCAGAGCCATGGTCCGAGTGCCACGGGCTCTCCCTCTGCCCGCCTGCCCTCCTGCCCACCTGAGCTGCCTCTGACTCACTGGACTCACCCAGCAGGCTCAGCAGTTCCTGCCCTGCTGAACTGTTCCTGCCCTTTAGTTAAACACATAGGAGGAAGGCCTGGGGCTCATGAGTGGAGAGGGAGGGAGGACAGAGAGGTAGGGATAAGGTGCCTGTGGACCAACTCAGGCCTCCCATCATAATAGGATGCCTCAGGCTTCATCCTTCTTCCTGGGCTAGGACCTGGGATAGGTTCAGAATGAGAAGACAGGCTCCTAGTCTGGTACCTGGTAACATATGAGGCCTCAAGGGCATGGGGCTCGCATTGCTTCTCCTCCTCCTCCTCCTCCTCCTCCTCTTCCTCCTCCTCCTTCTCCTCTTCCTTCTTCTTCTTTTCACATTGCTTCTTGTTCATTTATGTCCACAGCTCAGGATATGACATATGGTAAAATGTCAAAACCCTGGATGGGTAATTGGATGGATTAATAAATTCCCTAGCCCCTGCATTAATGTTATATTTAATATATTTATTGAATTCATATGAATGCATCCATAACCTGCACATAGTAAATGTTCCATATGCTTATTTATCTTTTATTTTCTTTAGACAAGATCCTGGTAGGCAGTTAAAGATGGCCTTGAACTCACTATGTAGCCCAGCTTGGCTTTGAACTCATGATGTTCCTCCTCCCAAGTGTGGGGATCACAGGTGTGCACTACCACTGCACTGCTGTTCCATATACTTCTTTTTTTTTTAATTTTATTTATTTGTGTGTGTGTGTGTGTGTGTGTGTGTGTGTGGCCAGCCAGGGGGCGGGCTGGCATGTGGTGCTGGGGGATTGAACCGCGGTCCCTGATGCTTTGCTAAGCTTGTTCTAAGTAGGTGCTTCAGACCACTGAGCCATCTCTCCAGCCCCCTTCCGTATACTTCTTAACTGGAAGCTAAAGATCCTTAACTTGGTTCTGAAGATAATAGTGGGACCATAGATGGCCTCCAGAGAGTCTGCAAACCTTTGAACTGATCTGTAAATATTGAGCATGTGTGCATTTTTCCGTATGTGAATTTCCCTGCTTAGATTATTGCCCTTAACCGATGTGAAGTAGTTGTGCTCATGAAAGAATGAGGCTGAAACTTTGTGTTGAATGAATGTCCTTGGCTACCTATTAAACTGTCCCACTTAATGTACCTCCTATGTGCAGGATTTGTGCTACGCCCCTGGTGGGGAGGAATTCAGCCACGGAGAGGGAAACAGGATGTGTTTTTCCATTTCCCAGTGTTTTCAAGGACTCCCGTTGCTAACATGGCCAAGTCCATCTCACAATTGCCATCATCATAGGAAAAGGGCACGGCTAGAAATGTCTGGAGAAGGAGGGCAGGGGGACTTCCTTGAAAAGGAGTATTTCAAATGGGCTTTGAAGACAGGGTGTGGGAGCAGAGCCAGGCATTCAGGCAGTGGAGAGGAATGTGGGCTGTGTTCTGGGACAGGTGATTTGTTCCAGTTAGCAGACAAGATTAGAGCATCAGAGGAGCAGGGCCTTGCTGCGTGGCTTTGAGCCTGAGTGGTTCCTTCCTGTGCTTCACCATTCCATACCAATCCTGGGGTGGGAAAGTTCTGTTCTCTTTCTCAGCTGTTAGGTGTTCAAAAGAGTCTGAAGGTCTATAAAATACCAAACAAGAGAAATGGGTTGTTTCTTTCTGAGCAAGGTCCAGGGTAGACTTAAGGCCCTCCAATGTTGGAGGAGGGTTTTGCTTCTCCCTCTTTGACAGACAAAGACACTGGGACCCAAAGGAGCTCATGGTCTGTGCCAGTTAATCTTGTCATCTTGACTGGATTAAGAAACTTGTGGAGACCTGATTAGATCATGGGGCAGCATACTCATCAGTGGATTAATCTTACCAAGCAGCATATTGATGTCACATCTCTGGAGCCTGGCATGGATATTTCCCCTCTGAGTTATAACAAAGCTTAACGGGTTGTTCCTGTGCCTCAGTCACCATTTCCACTTTCTTTTTTCTTTTTTTTCAACTTTCTAGTAGTCTAATAAGGCATGATGTGACAGGGGATAGGAAGAGGGCAGGATTTTAGCACTCTAATCTGTCATTGTACGCATTTAAGCAGTCTCAGGCAAGTCCTTTGCCCTCGCTGCACTGTTTGCCTAGCTGTGTAATTTGTGCAGTACACACTATCTTACTTACAGTGTGGACATAAATGAAGATCATGCATGTGGTTGTTTAAAATGCACATTCCGATCAAGGTGCTCACACCTGAAATCTCAGCTACCTAGGACACTGAGGCTGGAGGATCCAAAGTTTAAGTCTAACCCATGCAACTTAGTGAGAGCCTGTCTGAAAAAAGAGAGAGCAAGTGCTCCCTTTGGCAGGAGAGAGATAGAGACAGACAGAGACAGAGACAGAGACAGAGAGAATCTGGAGCCTAGCACAGTGGTACATTTCTGGTACATGCCTATAATCCCAGCACATAGAAAAGATGATTATAGATTTGAGGCTAGCATAAATTACACAGTAAGTTCAAGACCAGGATAAACTATATAGCAAGAGAGTATCTCAAACAAAAATAAGGAAAAGGAGCTGTGGTTGTAGCTAAGTGGTAAAGTGCACATGGTTTCTATCCTCAGATGGCAATTGGGACTGGGCGTGGTGGTATGTGCTTGTAATCCCAGTGTTTGGGAGGCTGAAAACAGGAGAATCACTATAAGTGTGATCCTGTAGTGAGGCCCTGTAGATCCTATACGAAATTAAAAAAAAAAAAAAAGTTTTGCAAAGACAATGTTGTGCCTGTCTGGCAAGCCCAAGGTCCTGGATTTGATCCCCAGTACAGAAAGAAAGAAAGAAAGAAAGAAAGAAGAAAGAAAGAAAGAAAGAAAGAGGAGGAGAAAAAGAGGAAGAGGAGGAGGAAGAAGAAGAAGGAGGAGGAGGAAGGAGGAAGAGGAAGGAGGAGGAGGAAGAGGAGGATGAAAAGGAGAAGATAGAGGTGGAGGAGAAAGAGGAGAAAGACAAGGAGAAAGAAGAAGAAAGGAATAAGGAGAAGGAGGAGAAGAAGAAGCAACAACTTAAGTGCCTCGGCTATGCTCTACTTCTTAAGATTCATTTCTTTGCAAATATTCGATCACCTACTGCAGGCTAGATCTTTCAGTGTGTTAGGGGATATAGAAGTGAACAAAACCAGCAAAACTCACCACTGTCAAACTATGTTCTAGTGTCCATGACAGGCAAAAATAAAATAAGTCAAATACATAGCATGCTAGTGTGGAGAGCAGAGGGGAAGCTGGACACGGTGGCACGCACCTGTAATCCCAGCTCCTAACTACTAGCTACTCAGGAGGCTGAGGTGGGAGGATTGCAAGTTCCAGGCCAGCCTTTGTAATTTAGTGAGACCCTAAAATTAAAGAAAGGGGGGGCTGGGGAGATGGCTCAGTGGAATAAGTGCTTCCTTGGCAAGCGCAAGGACCTGGGTTCAATCCCCGGTTCCGCAAAAAAAAATTAAAAAAAAATATATATATATATGAAAAGAAATAGGGCTGGTGAGATGGCTCAGTGGTCTAAAGCACCTACTTAGAACAAGCTTAACAAAGCACAGGGACTGCGGTTCAATCCCCCAGCACCACATGCCAGCCCCGCCCCCTGGTGGGCTGAGCTGGCCACACACACACAAATTTTTTAAAAAATTTTTAAAAAAGAATTTAAAAGGGCTGAGTGTGTGGCTAAGTGGTAGAGTGAACTGAGTTCAATCCCTAGTAATACACACACAAAACAGCAGGAAACAGACACAGAAATCCTTTTACATTGAGTGCTATTTCAAATGGAGACTTCTGGAAATGATCTGACGTCACTGCTCTCATTAAACGTCAGAAAGAACCAGACCGTCTTGGCTCCCCACGGCTCCCAGTGACGTCACGGCTAGCTCTGTGATGTCAAGTCTCCTTTATGACGGCAGTCGCCCCGGATGCAGACAGGAAGGGAAGGCTGAGTCTGGACACGCGGCCCGCGGGTTCACGCGGGGTCGGTGGGGCACCCGCGGCGCGCAGCAGCTGGGGAGAGCCGAGGGGCTGGGAGGCTGCGTGGCGACTGGGACGTCTTTGAGGGGCGTCTGTAGGTCAGGATGCGGCGGAGCACCCGCCCCGGCTCGGTCACATCCCCAGATGAGCACGCGCCCAACTTCTACAGCGAGAACAGCAACAGCTCAGAAAGTATCCCTTCGGGGAACTGCAGCGGGCGCCGGTCTCCCGGGCCGGGGCCCGGGGAGCCCGAGGGCAGAAGGGCCCGGGGCGCGAGCTGTGGTGAGCCCGCCTTGCGCTCAGGACTGCCCGGAGGAACCCCATGGGCTGGAAGCTCTCGGCAGGAGTCTGCGCCTCGGAACCACAATGCGGAGACCGCGTGTGGCGCGGCAACCGTGAGGGGCGGGGCCTCGGGTGCGGGCGGGGTCGAACCCATTGCGCCGCGGGTGGGGGCGGAGCTGGCCTCGGGTGGGGACCGGGTGGATACAATTTGGTCTGGGTGACTGTTGTGGGGAACGCTGCTAAGATCCCTTGGGGCGGTGCCTCTGTATGATGGACGGCTCTGGGAAGGGGCGGGGAAGCCCTGTGATTGGACCCTAAGAGGAGTTCCACCCTATGGACATGATTGGCTACCTGGAACAGCACCAACTGGGGGCGGAGCATCACTTGGAGGTGGGGCCAACTCCTTCTGGCCGCGGGACCAAGCCAGAGGGACTGCCCTCCAGTGTGGGTTGGGTAACTTGGGCCCGGGTAAAGTGGGTCTGCGGTCTGCGCAAGGCCCCAGTGGAGCGCATGGGCTCCAGCAGAACTGGCTGCATCTCCCGCAGTCTCTGAGGAGCAGCGGAGCCTTCTCGCGACCCTGGATCCGAGGCGGGAGATGCCTGCCCTGCGGGTGACCAAGAGCTTCCTGAGTACGCGCCAGGCCAACCTGAAACTTGCCCAGCCCCTCTCCGAGACCCTTGCCGGGTGTCCAGCCCCTGCCTCCTTACCGAGTCCCTGCGGAACGGGAACGCTCCTGGGCGCCCCTAGTGCGGTTCTCGGGTTTCCCTCTCTTATCTGGATCTCTTCCCCCAGGCCTCCTCTTTCAGGTGCTGAGAGTGCTGTTGTCCCAAGTCCGAGACGCGCTGCTCGGTGTGTGCAGGTCAGGGGAAACGCGGGGGCGCCGCGAGCGCTGCTTGGTCGAGTGGAGGCGACGCCAGGCCGGCGAGGCTCCAGTCCACTCCAATGGGGGCTTCGGGTTGGCGGGAGTGGGTCTAGGGCCCTGAGGTCCGGGCTGCATGGACCACGGCCCTGGGACCTCAGCCCCACTCCGTTTCCCCAGGGAGGTCTGCTCTGCCCGCTTCCTGTTTGCCACATCGCTGCTGAGCATCTTTCTAGCTGGTGAGGGGCGGATACCCGGGGACCCAGCTCTGGGTCTTCCTTTCGCTCGTGTCCCTCGCCCACTCGGCCTTCAGACCCTTCAGTCTCCCACCGCACTGCTCTCACTAACCCTGCATGCCAGGAAACCCTTCCCTGCCGCTTCCGTCCTTGACACACATACCCCCTTTCTCCAGCACTTTCTTGGGGGCTCCTGCACCTGTTCCCTCCTTTGGAGAATGTGAGTCGGGGCCACTGCATCCTGAGGAGAGGGAGTAGAGGCTGTGGCGGTCCTTGGGCTGCTGGGAGGGGACGGAGCCAGAAGCTAGTGGTAAGGAAGCGCACAGATTCCTGAGGGGCTGAGATCCTACAGGTCTGGCAAGTGTTGGGGGAGGCGGAACAGTTCTCAAAGAGGAGCAGTAAGAGGCTGGCCGCCTCCAGGCTGACGAGGGAGAAGGGGCAGGGCGAGGAGCTGAGCGTCGCTGTATTTGCCCCCACCCCTTAGGAACCTAAGGCGATGCTGACTCCCAGGTGAAAACAGGGCATCTGGGGCGGGGTCGCTGCTGCGGGGGCTTGTGGGAGGGGACACAAGGATCCGACAGCAGGGAACCCGCCTCCCCGCTCCAGCGAGTACCATGATCGTGTGCGTTCCCACGGGCAGCAGCTGCAGCAGCTTCAGGCCGAACTGAATAAACTGCGCAAAGAGGTGATCCGCGTACGCGAGGCCCACAGCGAGGTGAGCACCAGGAGGCTGTGAAGGAGTCTGGCCCTTTGATTTCGTCCAGTCAAGTCCCCACACACCTTAAAAGCCTCTAGCCCATTCCTCTGGATGAGTGCTGGGACTAAAATTTCATCCGGGAGCCCATAAAGTGCATGCCAGAGCACTGAGTGCCCTGAGAACCCACCTGTGAAACAACCCACAAGTCTGCCCCTTCCACCCCACTCCACAGAGAGTGGCCAAGCTCGTGTTCCAGCGGCTGAATGAGGACTTCGTGCAGAAACCAGACTATGCCCTGAGCTCTGTGGGTAAGACCCAAAGACACCCAAGGAGACCAGGACAATGACAGATTTCTTCCCAGCTGTCGGTAAGGTCTGGAAGGCCCTAAGTTATGTCTTCCTGCTCCAGGAGCCACCATTGACCTAGAGAAGACATCCCAGGACTATGAGGACACAAACACGGCCTACTTCTGGAATCGCTTCAGTTTCTGGAACTACGCGAGGCCACCTACGGTCATCCTGGAGGTGGGGATGAAACCAGTATCTTGTGCAGGATCAAGCGATGGGTCTGGAGAAAGGGCCAGTTCCGTGGAGGCAGAGCCTGGCTGAGTTGAGGGGCTCTTGGGGAGACTGGGTCTGGCCCTGCCCAAGTGAAGCTCCAAGGGAAGTGAGGAACTGAAGAGAACTGGAAGGGCAGGGGACTGAGCCCGGCGGGATCAGGGCAGGGACCAGGCCTGGAGGTGGAGCTTTGGGGTGGGCCTTAGATGAGGAGGGGCAGTAATCACAGTCCTTGGGTTCTGATAGTGTCTCCTCCCACCGCCCCTCCGCAGCCAGATGTGTTCCCTGGAAATTGCTGGGCTTTTCAGGGAGACCAGGGCCAGGTGGCAATCCGGTTGGCAGGTCGTGTGCAGCTGAGCCACATCACCCTGCAGCATCCACCGCCCAGCGTGGCGCACACCGGGGATGCCAGCAGTGCCCCTCGAGATTTTGCAGTCTTTGTGAGTGGGGGTGAGACAAGGACTTTGGGATTTTGCTTGTAACACTTTACCTGGCAGTCTTGAGATTGGTGCTGGTGTTCAAGTCTTTGCTCACTTGTAAAACGGACATACTAAGATTTCCCTAACAGGGCTGGCATCTCCAAATTATTAGCTTTTACTTTGTGCCAAGCACTTTACATGCACTATTTTATTGCATCCACCTAAAAACTGTGAATTATGATAATCTCCCTCTTTAGATATGAACAAGTAATGCTGAGAGATTACTTGCTCAAGGACACACAATTGGCCAGACTAAAAATCTGGTTTCCTAGAGCCTATCTTTCCCATTACACATCCTATGACAGGACAAACACGAGAGCACATGTAGAGCTACAAAACGCACAGAAAAGCCTCAACACAGTTGCCTCCCCTCCCCTCCGCATGGACCTTACTGTTCCTCCATTCACTCCACCCACCAGGGCCTCCAGGTTGATGATGACACTGAAGTTTTCCTGGGGAGATTCACCTTTGATGTGAAGAAATCTGCAATTCAGACTTTTCACCTACAGGTGTGTCTCCCTGGGGGTGAATATGCTAAGACAGCAGGAGATGAACAGGAAGGGCAGTGCTTTCGAGCAGTTCTTGGCATGATGCATTTGTCTCCCCAGAATGACCCACCATCTGCCTTTCCCAAGGTGAAGATCCAGATCCTAAGCAACTGGGGACACCCCCGCTTCACATGCCTATATCGAGTCCGTGTTCATGGCTTACGAATCTCAGAGGGAGAGGACAGTGCCACAGGGGCCACTGGGGGGCCCCATTAAACATGGTGATCATTGGAGCAAGCTTTGAGCTTTATGCAGGAGGCTGGATAAGTGGCGGCAAATGCTCTGTTGAGGGAGAGTTCTGGCTGCTCATGACATCAAGTATGGTTTAAAAAAAAAACTCCCTATTAATGCAGTCACAGCAGTTGATGCTTATGGAATGCAAGAGACAGGGCTGTGGATATTCTACACAAGCCATTAACTAACTTGATCCTCAGAATCAGAGAACTGCTCAGGTCAAAAAACTTTCTCAAGGTCACATAGCTGATAAAGGGTAAAGCTAGAATGGGATGCAGAGCGGTCTTCCTCCAAGCTGTATGACTTGCAGCCATAAGCTGCCAGGCAGCTGAAACCACAACTGTACCTCTTAAGTTTCTACCCCTAATGTCAGAATTGTTAGGTATAAGTGAAGGAGAATTGTGTATCTTTGAAAAGCTTCTGGATCAAAAGTTGATCCAGGCTAGCAGCCTTTACAGAGTTCTTTACTAAGACACGAGTCTGACTCCACTTATCTAGTATCCAGCAACTCTTGCCCTTAAGGAGCCAGACAAGGAAAGATGCTGCTCAAACAAACAGGACAACTGATTTATCCATCCAAGACTCTTCACTCTAAAATTTAAAGGTGGACTCGGGAGGAAAAAAAAGAGGCCAAGGACAATCTTCTACCTAGGGATATAAAATGACAGTGTTCTGGGCTGGCGACATAGCTCAACGGACTAAAGCACCTGCTTAGGTAAGCTTAGGCAAACATAGGAACTGCAGTTAGATCCCTGGCACCACATGCTGCGCCAGTCCCACCCCTAGGGAAGGCTGAGACAGCCACACACAAAAAAAAACTGTTCTACAAATTTCTTGGTGAGACAGCAATGTCTCTCCCCGAATTGGGAAAGTGCCAACAGACCAGTGAATGACTCAGACAAGGCCTGCTTAATGAACAAGTAAGTTTATTATGAGTTACAGAGCAGTGGAGAGCTTAGAGGCAGTTGCAGTCCAAGTTCACATGTATATATATACTGCTTACAAAGTCCCCATTTAAGTAGTCCCCATGGCTATTAAGTCACAGCAAAAAGCAGAAAAATAGACTCCATGGGAAGAATTATATGCTCAAATAATTCTCTTCACTGTTCTTATCAGGAATTCCCAGCCAGGTATGGTAGTACTCACCTATAATCACAATACCCAGGAGGCTGAAGCAGGAGGATTATTGTGAGTTTTAAGGACACCTGGGGCTACACAGTTCAAGGCCAGCCCAAACTGCATAGCAAGACCCAGTCTCAGGGCCAGTTAGATAGCTCAGTGAATTAAAGCACCTGCATAGGCAGACACGGGCTGAAGGTTCAACCCCTGGCATACTGTGCTAGCCCCACCCCCGGAGCCTGATGAGACAGCAACTGAGACTGGGCGTGGTGGCATGCACCTATAATCCCAGTGCTTTGAGAGGCTGAAAATAAGAGGATCATTATGAGTTTGATCTGTGTAGTGAGATCCTGTACTAAATACATAAGAAGAAAAAAAAAAAGACTGTCTCAAAAAAAGCCAACTCCCATGCCCCCCTCCCCTCAAAAGTCCACTGGTCTCAGCTAACACTGGGATACACAGCTGTTTTGGGGCAGCTTGGAACACAGCATCACCACCTGCTGAGGGACCCCACAGGGCAACTACATGGTGTCTTACTATAAAATAGGGTAATAGTGTTACTGTTATTGGCCACGTTCATATACTCAGGTTCATTTACTTATGCTGAATCAAAGAAAAAGGTCATTTTAGCAAAAAGGATTTATTTACAACTAAGCTTCAAAGAGATGGAGGACCATTTGCATGAAATTACCATCTCAACAAGTCCAGGTATGTTAAGAATTTTTTCTAGAGACAGTACACATCACAAACTTGATCTGTCACTTCCCGCCATCTTCAGCTCATTCTCTGGGCTTGGGTCTCCTGGTATCAGCATCTGCATATCCTGTCCATTCATCTGGGCTGAAAGGTGGGAGAAGCTGTGGGAGAGAGGTCTGAGGGAGCCACTTGTTTCTAAAGGGAAAAATAATCTAACTTTTAAAGTTTGTTTTGTGGCCAGTTATGATGGTGCACACCTGTAATCTCAGCACTTGGGAGGACTGTTTCGAATCAAAGACAAGCCTGAGCTACAAGGCCAGTCTGAACTACACAGCAAGAGCCTGCCTCAAAAAGACAAGTTCATTTTGTGAGGCCAGTTATGTAACTTTGGCTAGGGCTCAGAGGACTATTTCCCCTACACAAATTAATGTGAGCAAAAAAGTGCAATATTTTCAGTGGTAGGAATCTTCCCAATAAATTCATGTCTACTGCAAAAGTCCTAGGACTATGTAAGACATAGCTGTGTCTTTGTAGAGGTGGAACACTTACCCACTAAACTTGGGAATGTTCTTATGTAAACTGAAGACAAATAGATCCTATACCCTCTCAAAATCTACAGTAAACTGGGCATGGGAGTGCAGGTATATAATCCTAGCACTTGGAGGCTGAGGCAGGAGGATTACAAGGCTACCTGCTGTGATTTCATCTATAATGCCTTGGGTGCCAATCTGCACTACAAAGTGAGATTCTGTGTTAAAAAACAAACCTAAAGTTAGCCAGACATGGTGGCATATACCTGTAATCCCAACTGAGGTAGGAAGATGATAAGCTCAAGCCCAGCTTTGGCAGCACAGTGACTTAAAAGGACCTTGTCACTGAACTGGGAAGGGGTGGATGGGTGCCGGGGATTTAGCTCAAGTTTCAATCCCCAGTACTACAAAACAATAGCAATAACCAAAAGCAATAATCCTAGCATAGTGGGAGCCTCAGACAGAAAGAGTACACTTTGGATGGAGCCTGGTTTAGATTACTCAGCAAGACTTTATCTCCAAATAAGGCTGGAGCTGGTGGTGCGTCCCTGTAGTCCCAATTACTCAGAAGGCTAAGGCATGAGAATCATTTGAGTACAAGAATACAGACTAGTGGTACAGCAACGGTCTTTACTGGTCTTTGTTGAATGAAAGGTGCAAAGGACAACCACATGGAATCAAGAGTAGCAGTAACAGGCCACGACTGCTGGTGAATACCTATAATCCCAGCACTCAGGAGGCTGAAGGTGGAGGATCACTATGAGTTTGAGGCCAGCTTGGACTACATAGTAAACTTAAAGCTAGGCTTCACTACAAAGTGAGACCCTGTTTTAAACAGTAGCAGTAACACAAGCATGTATAAAATATAAAGTACCACCTAGGCCTGGGGGGTCTGTGCAGGAACCTTGGCTGGGGATGAAGGTATCTTGAGTGGCACCCAACCCTGGGCCTTAAAATAGGAGACCAGCTGTGTGGGCACTTCTGCAAGCACAGCCTGTGCCAGTGCTTCCCGAGAGGCCTGTGAGGACAAAAGCAAAGTCACTGAGGTGAGGTTGGGGTTAACAGCTTCCCAAAGTTTACATTTCAACCCTAAGAAAGCATACCAAATCCAACACCCAAAACTGCCCCAGACTTTGAGGAAAGGGCTTGCATCTGCTCATCCTTAATCCCATTAACATCTAGAACAGGTGGAAAGATAAACTTGCAGAGTAGTTTGCCCTCAGCCTTGCTCTTACGTTTTGGAACCGACGATAAGGCACAAACTGCACAATGTCACGGGCTGCTGACTCCCCGGCGCGTGTACGCAGAGGTCCACCATCGGCATCCAGTTGTTCCATGGCCTCGAAGTCCGCTCCACCCACACCCACAATGATCACTGACATGGGCAACTTCGAGGCATTTACCACTGCCTGGCAGGTAGCCTCCACGTCTGTCACAGCACCATCAGTCAACAGCAACAGCACGAAGTATTGCTGGGGGCAAGCCCAAGTATATATTCAGGCAGATACTCTTTTCCAATCCCCCTACCCCAACATTCCAATCACATATTCCCTTTTTACACCACCCTTACAAACCACTACCACTACTAATACTACTACTTACTGATGCAGTCTTTTGATATGTAGCCTGGGCTGCAAATCTGGCCACATGGTTGATGATGGGTGCAAAGTTGGTGGGGCCATAAAGGCGAACTTGGGGCAAGGCTTGGCGGTAGGCATCTACAATGCCCTGGATACCTGCAGAGAAAGAGGGCCAAAGCAAGGCCACTGTGAAATTCTAGACTTTCCAAGACTAGGCTAGTCTTGAAAACAAGAATCTGGATGTATTTCACTCAATCACCCCTGTGACCCAGGGTACCTAACTATATCTTTAAAAAAAAAAAAAAGACAAAAAAAACCCTCTCTTAAGTGTGATTATTGGGGCTGGAGAGATGGCTCAGTGGTCTAAAGCACCTACTTAGAACAAGCTGAGCAAAGTACAAGGACCGCGGTTCAATCCCCCAGCACCACATGCCAGCCAGCCCCGCCCCCTGGTGGGCTGAGCTGGCCACACACGCACACACACACAAATAAACAAAATAAATAAATAATAAAATTTAAAAAAAAAAAGTGTGATTATTATGTACTATTTCTAGCAAAGGGAAACTAAGATAAACAGCTGTTTTGGGGAGAGTACTTACTATATACAGGATTACTGCTTTAAGTTTACTGCTTTACTCCAATCTTCCCTTTGAATATTCAATATCCTGTGATATTTAGCTTAACTATAAAATCTAAGCACAGAGAGGTAAGCAAGCTGCCCCCAGTCATGTGGTCAGAAAGTAGCAAGATGAAGAGTTGACTCCAGAGGCAGAGATCCAAGATGGCTGACAAGAGAACATCAGAGGTGCTCAGAGAGAATTCAGACGCCACAGGTACTCTGTAGTGGGGGAAAGACTTATATTCTGAAACAGAAAATTAATCAGAAGATGATATATGTAGATTAATCCAAACATCTAGATCATCAAAAATGGGAAGCAGTGCTGTCATGGCTGGTCTGCAATGCCCCAGCTATAGCACCTACCCCTCCAGCAAGCAGCCATCCTGAAAGCACTCTAGACAGTCTTAGGGACCAAACGAACTAAGAGGCCTAGGTTAGACTGCAAATACTAGCCCTTTCTTATCACTAGAGC